TGCAAAAAAATGTCCTCTATATCTTGGCTACTAATACTATTCTATCTCCTCATTCTATCCATGATCGACCTTGCCTAATGCTCTTCATTATATTCTACATTTTTATTTTATTCTGTAGGAACTAAACTAATCTTAATATATACTAATTTTGCAAGAATTCGCGCCAAAACTCGTAAGCTAATTATTACATTTTCTTTCGGAATTTTTAACTTCCATTCCAAGTGATTTCATAGTGATTTCCAAGTGATTCAACATGAAAGGGAAACTGAACTACGCATTTCTACTGAAATCATTTCGTTTCAACACTTTTGAAAGCTATAACACTTGAAAAGGGAGCGTAGATATTCTATTTTTGCCATGTAGTCTTTCAGTTCCATTATAAATTCCGTATTTGAATAAAATCAAATGTAATTTCAATTAAGTAGAAGATATCGTATACACATGGATATATTACCTGAGATCAAACAATATATTACTTGAAGTGTAGGTAAATAATGTACAAAATAAAGGCATTCTTATTCATGACATCTATTATATTTCACATTCATATTTAGTTTCAGCCATTAGATGACAGACCTTGAGCCTTGGAAGTCCATCGAATGCACCAAAGTGCAAAGATTCCAGCTGGCATCCGGACAAATCTAGCACCCGAAGACTTTTCGAATATAGTATTGGTGAATCAGTTGGAATTTTCAGACCTTTATTACCTGGAAAAAAAGAAATTGTTAACTATTTTTATTTACGAACTGAAACTAACTTTTTTCGCACCAAATGTTATAAGAACATTTATATTTACTTTGCGATGCAAGGAAAGATCTCTCCAAGATTGTGCTAAACTTACCGTTGAAAAAGGTATGATGGAAACCAGAATGATTAAAATTCCACAAAGGGATTTATTAATTCTGTGGTTGCAGAAAAGGCGCACATCTAGTCCTCACACTGAAGACTATCTGACATTCCACATGTCAATACATGCAGTTCCAAGACAGATAAGTGAGATAGATACATGCAGTTCCAAGACAGATAAGTGAGAAAGTTATGACCTCAACCATTGTTTACTTTTGGTGCTTGCGACGTAACCTCTCACTTTTAACAAGTGATTTATGGCGTCACTAATAAAAATAGAGTAAAATTTACTTCTGGATTAAGTCAGAAGTTTGCAAAATATTAACTAATAAACTTGGAGTAACGGAAGCGTAGCGTCAACTGGGAGTAAGTGCGGCGCAGTTACCATGGCAACCACTGTTCCCAGTCGTCCCCTAGTTTTACCTCGGAGTAAGCGGGAAGTAGCGCAAGTCCGTGGCAATACACAGGCAAATATGTTAGAATATACAGAGATGACATTGTCCTCAGAAAGGGAAACGTTTTAACGAAAGCACTGCGGTCGGATTTTGTTGACCAAAACATCTCGATTAACCCGGCTCGCAAGATTTGGTCTTGCTTAGCACCAGTGCGAAATAAGATTTTTGGTTATTTATGGAACAAATGTTTTATATTAACATTTAATATTAACATTCTTCTTCAAAACATACAGAATAATCGAAATTGGAACGTTTCTCAAATATTAGATATCTTGAATGCATTTTACCTGTCTTTACATTGAAGACCCTAATTTAGAATAAATCCTATTCTGTTCCAGTAAATGGGAAAATACCCATACTCGCAACGTAATGAAATGGCGATATTTTCATCAAGTGTTTAGAGCGTCATATTCATTCACAATTAGCATACTCGCATTTTGACGGTATTCATCTCTTGCAGCGGTGTTCTAAGAATTTTGTGGCATAAACACGAGTTTTTACCAAGTGGGTGATTTAGCATTAATTTAAATAAGCTACAGCTTGTAGCCTCAGAACCCAATAGGCCTCAAACATTATTCAACAAAATTGCAATTTTTTTAGATATGAAAATATACAATTTTTTTATTAGTTACAGAACATAAATAGTTTGGTAAACACGCTATTGGAATTGCAAACATTTAATCTGAGACCATTCTGATTCATTCTCATTTATTTCGGTTTGAACTTGTCAAGTGGATGACAAAATCCATCATGCCAAAAACAGTCACAGCAGCTGACTCACATCGTATCTTTTCATATACCCAACGTTTGGATTATTTAAGTGCACACATTTTAAAATAATACCTGTAGTAGTCGCTCGCGCCCATTTAAAAGAACCGGCACCGGGGCGCAGCAGCGATGCGGCGGCGCCCCAAGAAAATACGGGCACCGTTAACGAGAGGTCGCTGAGGTCGGTCTCAACGGAGCCGTCACGTTGAGGTCGGAGCGACCAAGCGCGCCATCGGCCGTTCGGCCGGGCCAGTCGAGAGCCTCAGTCCTGACCGGGTACAAAACGGCGCGCAGCAAGCAGTGAAGCTAGTACCAGTCGTCGCATGAAAGTGCGTGCTACGAGGGTTGTTAATGACTACACTGCCGGACAGTATTACGGACTTTTGTAAGGGTATTTGGATCGTGACCACGACATCGTGTTTGGACATCTCTTCGGCTTTTGGTAAATCTGGCAGGTCCCCAGTAAATCTCCTGGTTATTTTCTGACTACACATGTTAACGGATTTCTCTGTATACGCAGCAATCGTGAATAAAAAAGCTGTTTTATGAAATTATCTTGTTTTGGTCATAACAATACCCACATAAGTGTGTCCTTTATGTAGTCAACTCAAAGGAGTTAAAAACAAGTGTTGAGTTACCATGGCACAAGCCAAAATCAATTCACGAACAATAATATTCAGTGAAAATTATAACCTCTGAGATTTCTTTCAAGAATACGATTTCTGATTTTATGAACAAAATGTTGTGAAAAAAGCATTTTTAGTAAGGTTTTGTCAGTTAATGTTGATATAATATTGCAGATATTATATTATATTATAGTCAATTGTTATCAATTTTAAAAGTAAATATTTGAATAAAATTATTATTTGAATCACGGTTTATTTTTTAATTAATTGTTAATAAAAAAGCAAAACGTCTATCCGTCTGTGGTCAACGCTACAGCCTAGAACGTTCACATGATTTTCTCGAAAATTGTTATTCTCCGATCGATCTAATAGAGTTCAAGGTCCATCGAGTTTGAAACGGATATTTTTATTTTTCGATGTTCTTTACATAAAGCCTTTACATAAATATTTTCGTTGACATCTCTGAATTTTAAAAAACTGTATAAGTTCAAAATTTTTTCGACGACTTCCTACATCTGCAATATTGACGATAAAGAGGTTTTCTGTGCCGAAATATTTTGCTCAAAGATAGATCATGATGTAAGGTCACTTTTTCGAAAATATCAGTTACTGTTGCGTAATTGTGCGTGAAATATAAGCAATTTTTTAAAAATTATTTTCTCAAAAACCACTCAAAATTGTTTTGTGAATTTTTTTTCCTCTTGTGTATCAAAGGACGGTAAAAATGGTGCAGATCATTTCTCCCACACCAAACTCTCAGTATTTCAAATAATTCCAAAAAACATCACAAAAGTATAATTTTGGAGATGGAGATTTTTTTCTTATATGAAATGTGTTCTAAGAAATACTATATCTTTAGATGAGGGCGTGTACATTTTTTTAAGTAGGTTGATTTTTGCGTAATTTCTGCTTGAATTTAATAAAAAAAACATTTCCTCAAAAAAATAACGACATTTTTCATTTCATTTCTTCCACGGATAGACAAAAGGACGCTTTGACAAAATGTCGGTCTAATTTACGCGTAACTGTCTGCATTATCAATATTTCAAAAGTAGAAATAATGTGGAAAGTATATATAATAAAAATAGTGCTATTGTTGCACAATTAGTTTTCTTGTCAATATGACAGCGAACAAAAAGCACGTGGGAATATTTGCCTAACTCTCGACAGACAGTGTCCTCAGCAATATATTCCTCTGCCCTTTGTACTATTGAAGGCATTTCCGAAAAATGATGCGCAAATATTCACCACCAGCCCCTCGGCTATTTTGACGTATAATCAGATTACATTGTAGATTTTCAAGTTTCGACAGACCAACGAGGGCCTAATTTGTTATATTCCTAATACTCTCTACTTCAGAAATTATTTCAATTTTTCCAAAGCTATTGCATATTCTTCTCAAGGCGCGAACTAGCATTGAAGACCACAATCCATCTATATTAAAATTCCGCAAGCTCTGGAGTAGCAGAATTAAAATGAAGTACATCCTTCGTTATCCCTGTGGTACCTACGGACTTCTTAGCTGGTGATAGCACATGGTGTTTAGAGAACTAAATACCAGATTTGAATTAATGCTGGAAGTCAAAATATTTTATCCTTAAAGTTATATTTTCTCATCGAAAGTAGCAATTGTAATCTTAAAACTTCATTAGAGGATATGGTAGAGGAGACAAACCGTCTTTAAGGTCTGAGTTAAGCTGAAGAGTGAGAAATTATGGTCTTTGCAGAGCGTGAAATTAGCTTAAATCTCTAAGCAAAAGTAATAGGGGAAAACATTGCTATTTAGTGTTTAATTGCTGAAAGCGTCTGCACCATATTTTTTGTTCTAAGAAGTTACCATCACGGAAGTCAATGATAATACTAACATCGACCTTTAAAACCTACGCCGTTAGTAAGTTCGTTGAAATAATATTTAATATGATGCTTTATTCTAATCTTAAGGTTTGTCGCCAGTCTGGTTCGAAGTCTCCGGAACTTTTCCATATGTGAGTGAGCTACAGCAGTTGTTTCTGCTACAAGGAGGGGAATTTTTTACAAAATTCGCTACTCACTACAACTAGTATCTAGAATTCTCCTCCAGGCAGCGGCTTAATTCAACCTCAAAATCTGGCTAGTATCGACCATCCGCCACCGTCGGAACACGCATCCTAAGAACTCTCTCTATCCTCTCGGTCTTTAGGAACGCTGCGATGGAAACAGTTGTGGCACCATCTCTGCCAGTACTTCACTAAGACGACCGCATGTCATGTTTCAGCTATTGCTAAAAGACATCCTGTCGCCCGGCGCTGCCGCTGTGGGCACTTACCTGCCAGGATAAGCGAGTGCAGCTCGTCGTGGCGCTGCCACGTGAAGAGGTTGAGGCGCTGCAGATGGTTGTGGCTGAGGTCGATGCAGCGTAGCATGAGCTGGTAGCGAAACGCGTCCTTGTGCACGAGGCGCAGGCCCACGCCGCACATGCGCAGTAACTTCAGGAATATGAAGCGCCCGACTCCCAGCCACGACGCCGGCAGCCGACCTGCCTCCAGCGCGTCGCCCAGGAGCTCGCCGCCGCCCGCACCCTCGCCCTCGGCCTCGGCCTGGCTGGGCAGCGGCACTCCCGCTCGCGCTTTCAGCTGCGCAAGGAAACGGCTGTGGCAATCTCCGCCTGCTCACCCGTCTGTTCAGCTCCCCACCTCCACCCCTATTACTAGAAACATCGATGTAACCTTTCTTCCATTCAGCATTCCAGCCTTTCATCACTTCATTTTTATCCTCCCGTCTCCTTTCGTCCTCCTATTCTGTGTATTTTATCTGTCCATTCACCCTCTCATCAACCAGTACTTTCATCAGATCGTTAACTTGTCCATCTTTCCATCCACCTGTTCATGCAAAAATATATTTCCCTGTAACGTCGCAGATAATACCGTCTCGCCCTACGACCGGAAACCCGTTTGCATAGGGCCATGCCGTGCAGCAATTTTAATTTTTCGTTTGACGCACCGCCTGGTATTGTGGTGTATATTATTGTGAGGCACGATATGAATAAACCAGAAGAGTTTTGAAAAAACTTTCTGATTAGTTGTGCTGGAACTGATGGACTGACTCAACAACCATGAATACAGTTAACGTCAAGAATGAGCAACAGCAAATTGACATTTATTCCAAATTCACCAAATATTCAGATTAAATAGAAAACTAGTGGTGCTACAGAACGGCACAGACTTTCCCGTATTAGTTTTCTATTTCCTTTGGTCTCGGTTAGCTATTCGAACTTACCATGTATTCTTGCCTGGTGCCATCTAACGCCGCCTAAAGTACATTTTTTTGACATTTTCCTAATTTTTCGGTTTCCTAATTATAGAGCGGAAATATTATTTTAAGATTATTAAAGAACAGTAAAACCACGTCTTAAATGTCAACTTTCAAAAATTTCGATCCGTTTTTAAAAAACTGGCGTTTAAACGCTTCTGTAAATTCAAAATTTAAAGCTTTCACGAAAAATGTTGAGATTTCTAAAAACTTACTTTGAAATCATTTTAAATACTTTATCTCACAATTTCAATAGTGTTTACAAATTTCATATCAACGGCGTGAGAGATCTTTCAAAAAATTTACATTTATGTAATATTTGAAAAACCAAAAAAATACACCGAAAGTAACTTAACATCATATTAATAAGTGCAATTACCACTATCCGCTCGAAATGTGTGAAGAAAAATTTGGAGCCTTTTTGAGAAAATGGCGTTAGAGCGTTTCTGAAAATGACGAATTTGAGCTAGATTTCGCAGAAAACGGTTGAGTTTTCGAGAAACTATATATGACATTATTTAAAGCACATGTATTTATAAATATAATGTCAACAAATTGTCGCTAATATAAATATTAACGACGAGAGAGGCAAGTCAAAAAATTACATTTTTGTAAAAATAAAAGAATAGAGCAATATGGCGTTTATGTCTTGTTATAGAGTACATTCAGCACTATCCATACCAATAGTTTAAACAAAATATTTGGAGCCATTTTTGAGAAAATCTTGTTTTTGTAATTTTTTAAATTAAAAAGTTCTTGTAAAATACCCCCAAATTTTAAAGATTTTATTTTCAAAATCTCAAAGATTTGACTCGAGCCAGATCAACACAGAGTTTCTTTAATTTGGAAAAAATCTTACGCATGGTTTAGGCGCTTGTAGTGTTCACAGACGGACAGACGGACGGACGGACGGACGGATGGACGGACGGTAAGACGGACATTTTGAAAAAAATACTTTTTCGGTATCTGGAGATTCCCAAAACGTGTATTTCCGTTGAAATCTCGAAATCGATTTTCGGCAGCATTACATTATTTTCCATATACTACGTATATTACTGCGTATACACGTACGTATACGGGAAAGGGAAAATATGTATATAAAGATTCAGAATTTATCAAACATAAAACGCTAAAAAAACTAATGTCAATTCTATATTAATTCTGAAAACTGATGCCCTCCCAAAGACTATCTATCAAAGGCTGAAGACGTTCAAATATCTTCCAACCTTCCGGAAAACATAAAAAAAGTCTACGAACACCTCAACGTCACTAGTCAGAATATTTGTGGGAAATTGTTGAAAAAGTTATCAAAGGTGAGTGAAATTTTCATCCATAAGCTTTACTGTACTTATTCCAACCAAATATCTCCACGGGTGGCTCATTGACTGCATGCTAGCTTCATGTGAGGGGGTTCGCAGTTCGTTTCCTGGACGGGGCAAAAATTAAGCTGTAGCTTATCTAATGCAAATTGTCTCAGTTTCTTTAGCTGTGAGACGAAAAAAAAGCTCAGACAGGCTAAGAACTCTAGGAACGGTGATGGGAATACGTCACGCTCGCCACATGCCTCCCTTTCCCCCAGACGTAGATGAATACATACAGAGGTAAGGCCTAGAAACACCGCTAGCTGGCAAACTCGGATTCATCCTAACCTAAAATGCCAATTACGTCCATCCATAAAGAAATACATGTCAATAGAATAAAATATGAAAGCCACCATCAATGAGAAATAATAAATTTCTTAATAATATTGGTAACAATTGTTAATAAAAATAACGCTACTTCATAAATGTGAAACAAACAATGTAAAAGAAATCGTGTATACACAAAGCAATTTATGGAAATATAAAAAAATAATGGATAAGATACCGATCAACGGAGACCAATCATTGCAAACAAAGTCGTCAAGTGGGAGAATGAAGCCAGAATCGGTAGCGGTTGTAATAAATGCCTAAGTACAGATATGTAATGCTCCAAAGTTACAAATACATGCTCAAAGTGATACGAAAACTCATCAAAACCTGTGGTGTCCGTTGGACTGTTTACAATACTGTATTACCAACAAATATATTTTGGTTGTACGTTTGCAGCAAACAAACCAGATTTTGTTATTCGAGATTCAGAGAACAAATTGTGTCTATATTACTGTGTCATATGTTAAAAACGTCACAAACAAGAAGGGGAAAACGTCTTAAATACAAGAGTTGGCATATTGAGGTTAATCGGATGTGGAGTTATTGGGATCAATCCATGTTTTCCGCAGAGTATTTAAGAGGTACCCACATACAGAAGATCTGTTATGGCATTGCATCGTGAAAACGATATTACGTACACTAACAGACACCTTACAACTTAAATAGTTAATTTAAGGAATGCTATTGATGTAAATAATAATAATAATAATAATAATAATAATAATAATAATAATAATTTTAATACATTCATACGTGCGTTAAATCAATGCATTCAGTTTCGAGATACTTTGTTCCACTGTCAGAAGAAAGGTCCAAAAATTCGTAGCGATCAGGATTGGAAACATTTGGTGGACTTGTGTCTTTCCAGCCATGACATGACAGTGTTCTGGTTTTGCTGTCACAATTGCAGAGGGAAGGACAGGCTGAAAAAAAAAACAAAAGAAAATGGCAACAAAGTGGCTATAAGTGGACTTTACTATAGGAAAAAAGCAATTAACACAACAGTAGGACAATGGAAGGACTTGCCTCGACCGTTTATTACTAATACAATAATAAAGTACGATAAAAATGCGTTTTGCATTTGCATGTTTTGTGAACGTAAGCCAAAAAATACCACTGACTTCGTTTTCCACGCAGAGCTAAAATGTGCGGGTTTCATTTTCATCTTTGCAGCAAGAAAAAGATCAAATATTTCACTTCGAACAATTTAAGATGTATGTCATTCTTATCCTTGACCCCGTCTTCTTCGTACTTCACAAGTACGCGAGGTAGGCTAACCCGTCACACAAGCACGGATTACAATCATACTATTTCCGCGCCCGTTTTCTTGAGCCACCGCTTCGCTAGAGGCGAGGGGGGAAGGAAGTTTGGTTATTTTGACGAAACGAATTTTACGTCGAATTTGTAGTTCACTTTTTCACGCAAAATAGTTTTTAATACACGGGAGCGAACATTCCTCGTCACGAGATTTAGTCTACAACTCTGCTATCATTTATTCTTAATGCAACTAAAGTTGTGAAAGGAGTGGGGGTAGATATTACGTGGCTCAAGAAAACGTGCGGATATAATACGTTACATCCGTAAATTAGTGTTAGGCTACAACTGCACGCACTTTCTCGCATTTTTTGTAATAGTTACTAAATATATTACTTCAAATTTTTTTCTCATTAATTCTTAAGCCATCCCGTGAAAAACACATTAAAAGACTGCCTGGAATTGCAAATTCGCAACTTGGAAATTTCAGAGACTTAAATGATAATCAGGCTTACACATGGTAATAATAGACATCAAATTAGGAAGCAACAATGAAAACCGCTAGCTTCTTAGAACGACAGCCAATAGTTCTCTTTTCGCCTGTAATATGAAAAAACTATATTCGAAAACTTTTGACAGATTGACAAACATAAGAGATCATTTAAAGCATTTGTTCCTACGAAACTTATGGCATTTGTGATAAAAAAGTTTCTGACTCGAACATAAACATTAACGTGCAAATTGTTCTAAAAATGTCAAATGTTACACTTTTAGAATGAGCACACTTATGAGAAAGACACTGATGTCACTGAATTCAATGTTTTATCCTTGCAATAAGTTTAGAGAAAAAAAATGAAACCGTTTAGGACAAAATATTGATTGCATGTCAAATCATTTCTGTAACCGTTGATGACAGGCATAGACACAGACAGACATGCGGACTGAATGACATACAGACATGCGAACTGAATGACAAACAGACGTGCAGACTGAATAAATGACAGACTGAGAGGCAGGTAGGCAGGATTTTTACACAATCGATATCGAGGCCGAAAGGCGATGTAAACAAACTTCTGAGATCGAACAAAAAAATTATTTCGCCCATGAAATAAACAAAATATTTTTAACGATTTTATAAAAATGCTTCTATTTCGAATAATGTTTGTTTATCTGTACTCGTGGTTATAGAGACTTTGGATATAGTGGTGGTGGTTATAGCCACTTTTGAGGGAAAAGGTCGGTTTTGTACTAACGTCACGTCACCATGCAAAAAATCTTTCTCTGTAACGTCATATATTTCAGATGTCTGAAGAAAAGACAAACTTCGCGCATGCCATGCAGAATGTAAAATTGTTCATTTTTATTCGATAAGAAAAAATACTTTCGATAAGGGATATTCAATAAAAGCATTTTCATCAAAATGTCGACATCGCGTTTGTTTAGAATTTGGTAAGTTTACTTCTACTGTATATACAAGAAAGTAAAAATTCAGAATTAAAATTGCGTTACAACAATGTTTCGACAAATAATTTAATTCCATTTTATTAAGTTTCAATAGTTCTACAAGTAAGCCTGTGAAAAAATTGCTTTATTCCAAACACGCAGTAACAATTCATGTTAAGTGTGCCATTTTTCTATTGGAAATATGTCATCTTACCTGTTATAATTTGTCCTCCACATTCGAGTAGATATATAAGAATGGCCTGATATATCATGATCCGAGGCTAGCCTGAAATACGAGAAAATATTTTTAACATTTTACAATCATATTACGGATTTGCATGCATTATCACGTGCAAATATAAATGAAAACGTGCTAAAAAATAGACAAACACGTGTAATTAAAGTGATAAGTGAATTAAAATGCACTATCAAATTATAAATGTTACTCATTTTATGTTCTAAAATGTATTTTGTCAGATTCATTTGTTTGAAAAAATATTTTGAATGCAAAAAATGATCTTTACACGTCACACAACGTAATTGGAACATGCAGAAATGCCATTTACCCTTACATCATCTAGTACGACCTTGGATATCATTGCAGCATTAATTCCTTACACATTCAGCCCATGGCTTTGGCATATGGAAAATTGTCATTGGATTGTTGACCTGGCTTTCTGTACGGACTTAATATAATAGGCATACAAAAAGTAAACTGTACATTTGTCTGTGCATTGGTCTCTACTAACTATATCTCTATTACACAGACTTTTCACCAGATGTGCAGATAAAGAATTGAACGATATGCAAGTATAACCGCATAGAGGAATGGATAACGGAAACGTGATGAACCTTGAACTGATTTGCTCTCGTGAGAAAGAAGACGGAAATACTATGAAAATATGGTCTTGGAATGATAAACAACAAAGGTCAACGACCCAATCTTCTCTAAATCAAAAAGTCTTGAATTCCGACAGCTCATAAAAATGTGCATCTAATTGTTCCTAAAGATAAAGCACGATATCAAGTAGATAACAGTCATGCAAGTTAAAACTTCGAAAAAAATGAAATAATGTAAAAATTATCCAGGGGCAAATGCAGCAAGTGACCACAATCTGTTCTGTCCTGCCCTGCCCTATGGCTCGACAACCCGCGAGACCCAGCCTCTCGGACATGGAATAAGGGGGTTCGTGAGTTCAGCAAGAAGACATCCCTGCACCGTATATTCTGGTCTTCGTAACCTTAGGATGGGCACTCATATGCGACGGACAAGGCCCTCCTCTTTACCCAGAGTATCGGGCCACTGCCACGACGAAGCTAAGAGCCCAACGAGGGGCTACCCAAATTATTGTAAGGTTCGAGCGGCGCGGAGCCCCCTTCCCGTCTCTGTCCCCTACCCGTCTCTCCCTCTGCCAACACATTTAGGCAATTGAAGTATCGCGAGAACCTGGGCAACCTGTCGGGGGGTATCTGGTTCCCGCCCGACTTCCGTATGTGGATTCCAGAGCATTGCGAAGAATCTACTTCGCCAGATCCTGCGCAAAGATCGACGCGCCATAGACCCAACTGATGGGTTACCGAGCATGCCAGAGAGCAGTTGCTTATACTGCGATTTATTCAACTCTTCCCCTGGCAGGTATCAGCTATTGACTGTTTCATCCAATCGGGAGCTTCAACGTCACTATAGTGACGTCACTATGGTGACGTACAAGCACACAAGTCCCAGTAATGTCGCAGAGGTGTAGGTCACACACGCCTTATTCCGGTTAGACTGATGAGGATACCGCACGGGCCCGTCACAGAGTCCACGTTTGTCTCCAACTAACAAAATTTGTCCGAGCTAAAAGAAGAGCAACGAAGCAGTACCAAATGAGAGTATAGCGGGGTTGCGCAGATACAGATGAAAAACTGCACTTATTCTATGCACCATGTAATGCTCTGCCGCAAGAAATTATTGATAGGAAAATGATGATTCGTGATTTGGATCGCGTCAAATGTCAAGGTCATTAGTCTCGTAAGCGTAGTGATTGTTTTGAACGCGCGAGGTGGCGGCGATCTTCCCCCGTTGGATGGCGACCTATGTCGGCTTGTAGGGATTTTTCCAACCAGGTATCTCCCACCAGCGAGGCACCGCCCCAGCCAGAACTAGCTCTAAGCTCCCAACAACTGTGGTAGTGTATTACATGTGAGTGTAAGAGTGAGCATGTAAAGGATGAGGAAAGGACGAGGTAGGGAAAGGAAAGATCGCGCGCGGCATGGCTGTTTGTTAGGGTATTATTACAGCATTCGCCTTGTGATAATCGGAGAAACCACGGAAAAATACCGATCAGAGCAGCCGGCTTCTATAATTCTCCAAACAGCAGCTGAATTCGACCTAGTTGTCTAGCTAGTGCCGACAATCCTGCCACCGTCGGGATACAAAAACTAGAACTCCTGGTCAGAGGCACAGCAGTGACATCAGTTGATGACCTCACCCACCTTTGCCGATCTGTTACCAGGACAATCATATTATGGGAGGGCTATATCAGGGACACTAACATACACGTCCTGTGGGACGTTCCTTGCAAAATCCGGCCAGCGAAGGCTCTCTGAAGGACTGTCCCCCAACCGTATGGAGGCTACAGTAGTGCTCAAAAAACAGCATTACCTTTCTCACAGCTGTAATCTGCAATGCAATCAAAGTACACCACTTGATTTGCAAAAATCGAGCGAGTTATGATGGTAATGGAATCAGAAACATCATATAATCCACATCGAATATGAGTACACATTTCTACTAATATTTGTTTCAAAGTGTTAAGAGAAGTTTGGATTTGGAAAGTACACAATGCCCATTTGCTGTAGGTGTTGCGGTTTTCTTTAGCACTATTGTTGGCACATACCAATCTCGGCTGACAGAGCTAAAGTCGTACTGGAGGCTCAGCTCCCAAATGCTACACAAGTTAATGAAGATCAACACGACACTCGGCTTGGGAATATGGCTGAGTAATCATACTGACCAGTGAACATAGAACAATTCACCTTCGTCGAACTGAAGATGGCCGTTTTGGCGCTGAAAGCGGGGAAGGCTTCCGGCATAGACGGGATTCACCCTGAGATGATAAAAAAACACTACCACTTATTCGTCGAGAGCTCTTAGATATTATACAATAGGTGCCTATCATTTGGCTATTTTCCAGCGCTCTGAAAGGCTGCTCGTGTAGCGCATTTGTGAAATGTGAGGACAAGAAATCAGATGACGATAAGGCCTATCGACTAACCTACAGCCCACATTTATCGAGACCTTGGAAAGTTAGCCCTAGCCCACTTAGAAAGAAATATAAATGAACGGGGAGGCTTATCCCCTGAAGATGCTATACACAAATCAATGGTAAAGTTGAAACACACTTATTACACAATGTGATTACAGAATCGTGGTGTGTAACTTCCTGGTCTTGGCTGAGGCCTTTAACAAAGGAAGGTAGCCGCGCATTTTGGTTAACTCCTAAACACTTGAATTGACAATATCTAAAAGCTGTGCCAGAGCTTCTTTCAAGGCATCGTCACGGTCATAAAGGAAGGCGAGGAAGAAGTAAGGCACCCTCTTGCGAAAGGTTGTCCACAGAGACCACTTGGACACTTGGCGCGTGACTACCCTGAGTGGTCACGCCCAAGACTCGAGCACGTGTGGTGAAGTAGAGTGCAAAATCGTAAAAAGTCATACGATTATAATTTTAAAATATCTGGATAAGATACACATGTAATGTAGAGTTAATATTATTTTTGTATTATTGTTTTTATGCTAATCATTGAAGAGTTGGCTTGCAATTCGTGTACCAATACAAATAAGTTTTCTATAACTCAGAAACAAAAATGACTATTTTTCAAATATTGCTAAACTTGCGATTTTTAAAATTTATTTTTATTTATATTAAACTTTTACTCATCTTTAAACTATTTATAGTTAAAATGACGGGATGGGATTCTGGAACTCAAGAAAACGTGTGCAGATAATATTTCCCCACCCCTCCGTTACAAACAATTTGTACTGTTTTTTTTGACTGAATAATCTAAAATCTGAAATCTAAATCATTATTGATACTATTATTATTATTATTATTATTATTATTATTATTATTATTATTATTATTATTTTACAGTAATTCAAAGATACATTGTACTAATATTCTTAAGTTTAATGTCTGTAAATTGTAATGTTCTGCCACCAGGCTGTATAAGCCTACTTGCAGAAATAATATTTATCTATCTACCTATCTATATGCAGCAGCCGTTCTCCAGCGACGAATAGCTCCATTGTTTCAAACAAGCCTGCCTCACAACCTTTGGACAGACTAGTTACAAAAATGGTTAACTATAAACATATTCAGGTTACGGGCAAGATTTTATCTCTTGAGCAACTAAACTAAATCTAGCACTGGCTTCGTCATGTAGTGTATTCCAAAGGGGTACAAACCCCAAGGAACGGTAACTTCCGGCTGGACACTCCCCGACGGATGGCGGAAAAGAGGGTTAGGCTAGCTACATTTCATAATTCGTTTGTTCTATATTATTTTCATTATTACTTGACAACTCACAACATTTCATTTTGTCCCTGTTATCTTAATTGCTTTTAATAACAGTCACAGTATCTTACTTAAGTTTTCCCTAGTTGGAGTAACTATTGTTTGTAATTGAAGTAGCATAAAGTATAATTCTTTACATGATTGTCTAATATTCCACTTGTGCCCTCCTTGCAAATGCTCTGTAAAGAGAGTTTAGGAGGATATTGGCCAAACTCGGGTCCCTGCAACAAAATAAACAATAATAACAATAACAGATAGAGGACTTTTGGAAGCCTATCTGGTCATCAGCTGTGTTCCACAACCCAGATATGACATGGATTGAAATGAATATATGAAAGACGCCGAGATACCCCTCTAATGGGTGAACCAATCATCACCGTGGACGTTGTCCAAGCAGCTTTGAACAAAATACATAACTGGAAGGCAAAGGCCAGTGATGGCCTGCACAATTATTTCCTCAATAAATTTACCAGCTATCATATAGCTAATATAATTCAATATTGTAACGAATATTGCATCCCCTACCGGATCCTCTGCGCGCGGATTGCGTCATCTGCCACGCCCCTTCCCTTCCCCCGGAACTGGACGGTTCCGGACTATGCGCGAGTCGCGGGGAAAGGTGAAGAATGTGCTGGTTATATCGAGACGAGCGCCGGCCAGGTATAAATGCACCGCTGCCGGCGGCCGCGAGTGACTAACAGTAGCAGTCAAGTCAGTCAGTAGTAAGTCAGTGTATGTTAGTGTAAGTCGGTGTGTATGTGTATGTTAGTGTAAGTAGTAGTCGGAAGTAAGCAGCCGCGGATCAGTTAGTGTATGTAATCAGGAAATAAGCAGTCAGTCCGTCAGTGTGTCTGAAGTGGAAGCTGTGCTGTAAAGTGTGCATTGTGGTGAACAGAGGTGCAGTGGGGAAACAGCAGTCAGCAGTTTGAAGTCTGCAGTGGCAGCTGAGCTGTGAAGTGTGCATTGCGGTAAACAGCAGTTCAGTGGACCCTGGTGTGCGCAGTGAAGTGTGGTCTGCGCAGGGAATTGTGGTCTGCGCAGGAAATTGTGGACTGCGCAGGGAATTGTGTTCATCTCAGTGGACTGTGGACAGTGCAGCGGACAGTGTGATACAGTAGAAGAAGTGATCAGTGTAAATAAATAATCAGATTGCAGTGAACAGCGTGAATCAATAATCAAGAGAACGGAGCCGTGTGTAAGGAAAAATAATTAAGTGAAGAACACAAGGACTGTGTAATATACCTGTATATAGATGAAGTAGTTTTTAGCGTAGAATTGTTTACAAATAAACGTCATTGTTAAATTTTACCCGTGTGTGATTTTAATTCACCACTGAGAAACGTTACAATATTTTCTTCGCAATCCAGAGTATCTGGTCTACTTTCTCTCTGAAGGTAGAACGTTCTTATTACCAAAGGAGGGTGACACTAAAGATCCCTCAAAGTATAGGCCTATAACCTGCCTTCAACCATGCTACAAACGCATAACAGGATGTGTTACACAATTAATGATGGCACTCATTGAGGAACAGAACATCTTAGCGTAATAACAGAAAGTGTAGCCCTGGATTTCTGGGATGCAATAAGCAACTCATTATAGACTTTGTAACTATGGGGCAAGTGCTTGAAAAACAACGAAACCTGCACGCACACTACACAGATTATGCTAAAATATTCGACACCGTACCCCACTCTTGTCTCCTTCAATGTTTGTGTGTGTACATGGTCCACCCGTTTATCCAAAACTTCCTGAAAACTGTGATTAGCCAATGAAATACAAAACTGTTTATTTCCAATGGAAAACAATCCGTCCACACAGATTCTATACACATCCGCAGAGGGATTTTCCAGGGTGACTCTTTAAGTCCTTTATTGTTCTGCTTAGCCTTGAATCTCCTGTGCACCCTAATAAATTTATCAAATTATCGCATCGCTCTTAAAAAAGGGAACCCAACTCTTCTCCGTGTCTCGCATATTCTTTACATGGATGTCTTGAAGATCTATGCAGACACTGAGAAGCATATGCGGCAACTAATAAGCGTGACGGAGACGTTCACTGACATCAAGATAAAATTTGGTTCGGATAAGTGAAGGAAAGTGAATATCATTCGGGGTCATATGCAAGTTATAAATTTGGAAAATGATAATGAACCAAAGATTACCTTCATCGAACCCCATGAAACTAACAAATACTTGGGTTTCCGACAGTCTCTCCGAGTTAAACAAACTGCCACTAAGACCATACTAACAACTGAAGTTTGTAAACGATTGCATGGACTGTTAAAACTCAGCTCTCTGATAGCAATATTGTTGAAGCCATCAATTCAAATGTTATTCCACTGCTGACACACTCCTTTGGCGTTATTAAATGGACTATACCGACCTCGACAATCTCCAGAAGAAAACTCAAACCGCTATGAATCAACTCCGAAAACATCACCCCCATTCAAGTATTGAGCGTTTTACCCGTCGAAGATCACAAGGAGGGCGAAGTGTGGTAGATCTCATAGATCTACACAGCTCTCAAATTACATGACTCAGAAGATACTTCTTGGAACATTGCTGGAGACTTCAGCTAGCAATGAGCGCAGTTAATAATAACTATAATCCTCTGAAATTGAGAAAGACTGATCCACCTGTTCAGCCAGTCATTGAAACAGAAAAGAAGATAAACTCGACGAAAGCGAAGGCACAGCATGGAAGGTACCCCCATGAGCTGAGCAAACCAGAAGTCGACATCTCTTCGGCGCATGCATAGGTCCAGCATGAGGATCTCTTTCCAGAGACAGAAGCCTTCATGATAGCTATCCAGGACCAAGTGGGGCCAACTTTGAACTACACAAAACACATTCTGAGAGAATCGACCCTCCATTCCTACATATGTAGATGTGAGGCCGCAAGCGAAACTATGCAACACGTGGCAAGTGGATGCAGCGGCCACGCACAGTTGGAATATACAGATAGGCATGATGAAGTGATGAAGCAGGTCCACCAATTATTGGCATTGAAAACTGGATTACTCGCCTCTTCCGTGCCAAATTATAAATGTGCCTCAGAACGTGCTTGAAAGTAGTGAGCACACATACTACTGGGATCGCTCCATTATCACTGACAGACAAGTCGGCGGCAATAGGCCCGATATAACTTACATCGATGGAAACCATCAGCAGGTTTTCCTTATCGATGTATCCATACCCAATACTCTCAACATATCGGCAAAATATCAAGAGAAGATCCAGAAGTATACCGATCTTGCCCATGAAGTCGCAGCTCAGTGAAACTTCAGCAAAGTGACAACTGTGCTTATAATAATATGTGCAACAGAAGTGATTCCGAAAATTGCACTTCGAGCACTAGTGTCTTCACTTGGATGCAGGGAATATATACAATATTCATAAGTCAGTCATCTTGAAAACATGCCTTATTGTTAGAAGCCACCTGAATCTTCAATAAAGCAACCGCACACCTGGTCATCATTCCTGCGAGCGGTTAACATACCGCCCAGTAAAAACTGTGCATTATAATAATAATAATAATAATAATAATAATAATAATAATAATAATAATAATAATAATAATAATAATGATGATGATGATGATGATGATGATGATGTAGCAGCCACTCACAGGTGGAATACAAAAAGAGGCATGATGAAGTGGCGAAGCAGGCACACCAATTATTGGCGTTGAGAACGGGCTTACTCGCCACGTCCGTGCCGTATTATAAATATGTGCCTCAGAATGTGCTTGAAAGTAGTGAGCACACACTCTACTGAGATCGTTCCATTATCACTGACAGACATGTCGGCGGCAATAGACCCGATATAACGTACATTGATAGAAACCAACAGCAGGTTTTTCTTATCGATATATCAACACCCAATACCCACAACATATCGGGAAAATATCAAGAGAAGATCCAGAAGTATACCAATCTCGCCTATGAAGTCGCAACTCAGTGGAACTTCAGTAAAGTGACGACTGTGCCTATAATAATATCAGCTACGGGAGTGATCCCGAAAATGACACTTCGGGCACTGGAGTGTCTTCACTTGGATACCAGGAATGTATATAATATGCAAAAGACAGTAATTTTGAATACATGCCGTATTGTCAGAAGCCATCTGAACCTTCAGTAAAGCAACCACACACCTGGTCATCATACCTGTGTGTGGTTGACATACCGACCAGTAGATATTGTGAATAATGTAAGATAATAATAATAATAATAATAATAATAATAATAATAATAATAATAAATATTTTCGATATTGTCACGGCCGTACGTCACGTAGAGCAGGATAAGGCATAATAATCAAAATCTGTAGCTGTTTTGCCTTTACAGATAGTTTTTATTAGACGGGAGTGAATTTTTTTTCAACAATTCATGCCAAAATCTCTTGTTGTTACCTGAATTCATAATTCAATTTAATGTGTTTGAGTTGCGGTAGGGTTCCCACAGCACAACAAAACTCGCAGATTGCACTTCCCCCTATAGTACGTCACACAGTTTTTACTGTTTTGGAGTAAATAAAAAATAATTAAAAATAAATAAATAAAAATAAAAAGGAATGTCATGGAAGTAAAATTCAAAGCGGTTTTTACCCAACACTTCTTGAATAATCATTGCATTATTTTTTCTCTACTACTTAGTAATATAAAGAAAAAAGAGAAAGTAAAACGCACCGCACGAAAGTAAAAATACACACAAATAAAGAATCAAAAAAATTAATGGACATATAAATGGGAAATTTCATTTTTATTTTAACCAAGGGATTCGAAATTCGTACATGTTACATTTGCCTCTTCAAAATTATTTAACAATTAATTTGTTTTTAAAATAATTTAAAATATGAATCAATTTGTAATAATGTTCAAAATTAGGCGTTAGTTGTATTAAGTTGCATTACTAATGCATTTTACTTTAAATTACTCATCAACATACCGGTGATTTTAGCATCCTGACATTCTAATGTTTATTGTGTATGATTATTAATTTAAAAATAATATTTATTTACATAAAATATTGAAATTGTATATATTAGTTTACTAGCAGCCAATAAGAATATACATTAATTTTGTTAGGGGAAAGCGAAGAAAAATAGAGACGTTGCCTTCAGATCTTTATACAAATCAACACCTGTTTGATTAAAATTTGTTTGTTACTACAATCGAATGCAAAGTAATTTAAAACTTTGTTACATTTATATGTTTTTAATATTTGGATAAAACGGGAAACCAACCATAATACCATTTTAATACACAAATAAAGACTTCTGGAATAGTTAAAAAATGAAAAAATGAAAGTGCTCTACAATATGATTTTGTAAATACCATATTCGAGTCTTATTTATAAAATCGTATAAAATACTTACGTGAATTGCTGTGTCGTCTTCACTTTCTATCTCCGCGCAGGAGTTGAGAGCCAAACGCCTATATGTAACACTTGCGAACCATCTGAAACAAAACACATCAAAACTAGTATGCACGCGGTTTACACATAATAATTTATATTATAGGGAATTATAACGGATTTTCAATAACCAGTTGTCGAAACAATTGTTTAAAAAAACTCGAAACATATTGTAGCTAGTGTCGTACATGACCGCCCGCGGCGTACTAAAATCGAAGGCCGGCGAAATTTTATCATTACCACAGTGTCTCCATCTGGCAGCGTTTGACAGCATCATATTCAAGCCATCGTCTTCGACAGCTTGTCCCTAAAGAACAAGACCTGGCGCAGTAGCGAAATGAAATAGGTTGAGCGCAAAACTTTTATCCGGGTCCCCTTTATAAACGTATATAGCAAATATAAATAGGGTAATAAGGGGGGGGGGCAAGAGTTCGCAATTTTTATAAAAAAGTGAATTTCCACTCGTTTAATTGATAATTGACTCGGTCTTTACACAGGGTTATGTTTAATTATGAGGAATAAACCGTCCAAACAAGAATGGCGTTTTTTTTTAAATTTGATCTCTAACAAAAAAAACATTAAAGAAGGAAGTGCAGTGTTCGGACTTTTGCCGCAAGTGCAGGGTAAAAGTCCCAAACAAAAGGAGCAAAGGTTCGAATACACAAAACATCTAAACTTCCTTAAAAATAAATTATTAATGTTTACAAGGCTCATATGCATTAAATTAGAGTAACATCAGTTTTATTGCAAAATGATTGAAAGCCATTCGTAGAGTCTGAAAGATCATAATAAAGTCTCCAATTGAAAATTATACTCTGATAAATAAATAAATGCCATAATAAATTCGAAGCATCTGCTTCATACATTATACATTAATACTATATACATTAATTCTCACATATCACACAGAAATTGTTCTCTCTTATAGAAAGTTCATTTTCATGCCACCACTCTTTAAACGAATTATATTGGAATCAGTCTTCAGCTGGAAGTCCATGTCCCAAGCACGGCATACTCTGTCGAAGTATTTTCAGTGGCAACTGGCTTATTATTCTTTCCCTTTCCTCTCTTATTTGTGGAGTTACAAAGCGATTACTTATTGGCATTTCTGGGCTGCTTTTTTCTCCATTTCATATAGGTGTTGTGGTAAGATATCTTTGGCATTTTTAAAATAATTAAAGATGTTGTCATTGCCAACAATGTCGTTTTGTGGCTTCCATCTAGCAGACAACTGATGATGATGGCTAAGCCATCGAAAGCTGCTTTTGAATTAAAAAACATTGTTGGCAATGACAACATCTTTAATTATTCTCCATTTCAATTAGTCTTGTGAGGTGACGATGTCACTATAGTGGACATATTTCCTCGCCGCGTTCGTTTTATAATCAATCCTGTCCTTGGGATGGGCATAATATCCGAAGTACACTAATGTTGTTTCCCGAGATTCTCTGAAGTTGCACAATTTGGAGAATGTCGTTCCTTGGGGGATGTGACCTTGCTCAGTACAAATGACAATAGCTTCGATGAGTGATTTATGGGTTGATCACATGACTGGTGTACTTCAAAATCTTCTCCTTGGAATGCCAACTCATGTTAGTGTAACAGGAGAAATTGGCATCTGCTCTGTGAGCTGTGAAGGAAGGAAGCCTTCCTCCGCAAATTTGAATTAGTCAGTGGTTAATATAACACAGACCTCAAAGGCTTTCAAAGCCTTCTCAGTCGTACAATTCATGAACGATTTACCAAACAGTTCCGCTACCTGAAATTAGGTGATGACCGTTCCTGGATAAATTTCATCATGCGCTACAATTCTCTACAAGTGGGGCAGATGTCCGCATCAGGACACTTGCCCAGGGGTCGATCCATTAAGTGGTCTGGAATTGGTTGCTCGACCATCTCGAAAAAAATTCATTTTTTGTACATAAATTTCCTTATGTTTTGGCCTGTACCTGGTTTACAAATAGCGGCCATTTTTGTTTTACCCTGTGCACCATTTTTTGTGTTGGTAAACATGAACTATTTTCAAAATTATTCAGCCCTGGGTTGATGTAGCATTTCAGAATAAAAAGCATTGGATTCAGTATGCTCTGGCCTACAAATCGAAATATATTAGTTCAGGAAGACAATTTAAGCGAGAAATAAAAAAGCAGCCGAATAGGGTAAATTGTGTGCTATTTTGTTTCTCTGTTTAGTTTTTTCTTTCTGAACAAATTATTTTATTTTGTAAATAATAAAAAAAATTGCATGTTTCTGGAGTGTTTCTATGTCTCTGCAATAGACATTTTTGCCTAGAAAGAATTTTCTCGAACCAACTTTTGAGTGCTTTTAGTGACTTGGTCATTCAGAATATCCAAGTAGTTTATTAGGCAAAATATGCTTAAAATTGTCTCAAGAGCTTATTTTTGAAGTTTTAACGTTTCTTCCCCGGGCATCCTGTTTACGAAGATACATCCAGTCTTGTTACCAGGGATCGACAATAGGAGTTTTTCTGACGAAAAATCGGCGATTTTTTCCGCAGCAATACAATACTTTCTCTTTAATGCATAAGTTGTACAACGAGAAAGTACACAATTATAATATCACAATTCCTATTTTTTGTTTATTTTAATATGTATTTCACAATTGAACAGAAATTGAAACGGAATTTACAAATATAAAGTTTAATGCAAGCAAACAAGTCATTACAATATTGTGTGATTGCTGAAAATTCTCAGCGAAGTATCGAATGAAAATTTCATCCGGTTTTCCTTTTCTGCAGTGCGTTCCCCTCGGCGGATGCTTTATGACATTATAGGGTCCATTACATTCCTTCTCGTTTACTAACTCACTTCACTTAGTGAGGATTTGCATTTGAATGGCGAGACGAGTCAACAATGGAAGCGTGCTTGAGCGCGCCGCGCTTTGCATTTGTCAGTTGGAGAAGCGTGAGGGGGGCAATGGTGCTTTGTGGGCGGCGGAAAATTGCCTTTTCCTCTTCTCCAAGAGGGGACGATGGGTAACCAAATTAATTCAGACTCTTACTAATGTGTAACCGTCCTTTTATTGCAAATGCCGGATCCTATCGCTTTTATGACATGGCTTGAATGGAGGAACGCGTACTTCGATGGTCAGAACACCAAAGGCGCTAGTATTTTAGACTTTATACATACGGAGTGAAAGTGAAATAAAAGATAGCCATTTCTGTTGGAATGAAAATTCAACAAGAATGGTTTTCATCAACCTTTAACTTGTCCTAGTTTTACCAACATATCAATACCTCTATTATAAAATGAACGGTATTTTGAATGAAAACATCAATTCTTTTCTTAATAAATAGCAAGAATTGTATTGAGTATTGGCAAGGCGTACCTTATCACTTCAAAATCTACGTACAAATGCCATGCTCTGATAACTGATTCGGATTTGTCTTCACCAAATTCTACCATTAAACATTCTAGAACTAATATGCGAAGATATCAAACCAATTAAGTGAAATCGATCCTTCATTCACTTTCGAAAGCCATATTTTAGGAAGAATGATGAGTTCTGTTCTTTGGACATATAATGAACCACGACTCGCCCGTGAACCGAGTTTATGCTTTGATCACCCATTTTCAATTCAAAAAAAGCAAACAAGGTTTTCTTAACAAACTCGCTAATATTTGGTGTTATTTTTTAATTACAGGAAACAAATAAAATTAGGTGAGACTAGAGAATGTAAGTATGTGAGTGAAGGGATGAGGAGATGGTATTGTATCTCCTGTGTGAATACCGACATTGAGAAAGATTGCGCTTCGAGGTGAGGCGAATCTTCAATGTTTAAGTTAAAAACCGAGCATACAATTAGAAAACTGTCGAACTGACAATGTTTATTACAAAATACTCGCACTCACCAGACACTAATGCTACTTGTCAAATATCCTTCATCTTGCACATATCTCTGCATATAATAAGAGCGTTTCTCCTGCTGTAGCACGTAGGGGTTGGATCGGGAAAATATAGTGATTGATCACCGAATACCAAACGAATTTTAAAATAGTTATTTCATTTACAATTTGTCGGATTAAATTAATTTTAGTTTTGCCGTCAAATCAAAGATTTTCAAGGGAATTTAAACTTCCAAATTACCGTAAGGGAGCCCACAAGATTTATTGAAGAGAAAATGAAAAAAGTGTGAGCAGTGATTTTCACCATTTGAAAATCAGAACACCCTACGATATTGTAATCCCCTCCCTATCGCTTCAGAACGAGACACGGACACTGGGCGATGACTACGCAAATTTGTCACGACTCCCCACTGCCATCATCAAAAGAGAGTTCATAGTAGAATTTCGTAGAGACGGTGCCGCGAAAGGAATGTATTCGTAGTGATCATACCTAAAAGTGTGGCAATGAAATTATTTTCAATAGAAAAACTTTAAAAGAATCTATTTTAACCGGAGTGTGCAAAATAAAATTCTCGAAGTGGTTTCATTGCAGATGAAATAATTATAGACGTTGTCATTGCCAACAATATTATTTAATATAAGAGCAGCTTTCGATGGCTTAGCCATCATCATCAGTTGTCTGCTGGATGGAAGCCACAAAACGACTAGTCGTATTAAATAATATTGTTGGCAACGACGTCTATAATTATTTCATGAAAAATGCCAACGATAACACACCACAACACCTTTACTGCAGATGCTAACCTAATAATGGAAGCGAACACACAAGGGGATTACCATGGACAAATGAACTCCATTAATTTTGAAAAATGGTTCAATACGCAATTAGTCCCAAATATACCACCTGCATCCGTCATAGTTATGAATAATGCCCCTTACCATTCCAAGCCGAAAGAGTCCCGTCAAGATACGACACCAAACTGACAATGATAGAGTGCTTAAGGAAGAGGAGAATTAATTGTGATCACAATCAGCGTAAAAGTTATTTGTTTGACCTCATACTGGCCTACAAACCGAGCGAAAAGGTTTATGTAATAGACAAAACGGCTTCTGAAAGGGGTCATACTGTTATTCGTGTTTAGTGAACATAATGTCACTGGAGACTTGTCAGTGCAACG